AATTGAGAGGAATAGTTTCTAACTCATCTCTAGCTCTGTACAACATCATTAAGTACGTGCAGTGTTAGCTTTAACAACATGATTAAACATAAACATTTAAAATTAAGGTAGAAATAACAAGAACGTAGAAATTGATATCATGGTCATGACAGATTATAATGTTTATGGAGTTTTGATGGTTTTGAAGGAAATAATAGACATGACAAATTCATGATGTGCCATCATGATTACCTAACCAGCATAACTATTTTTGTTGATGACATAGATACAAAATGTTTACAAAAATCTGACAATTCAAAAATACATGTAGTTTGACTATCAGCAGATCAGTGATTATTGCTTGATCTTTTTGTTTAAGTAGTATCAAAAGATTTGATAGGACATCGACCACAACCTCTTCAACATGCATCAGTCAACCCAGATAATAGCAATCTCACTACAATCAGATATTAGTGCTTGCTATCGCTACATTGCATGTCATGTCATTATGACCTTTCAACTGACCAATCACAGAGGATGACACAAACGAAAAGACTGAATGCGTTTTCAAATCATGGGGCCCTGAAACAGTACACAGAGCCTATTCTGAACACCAGTTACTGTGCAACTGATTACGAATGTGCAACAAAGTCAGTGTTTGGCTTCAATGGAATAAACATTTGAAACCATGGATCAAGGGGTATATGGTTGTTTCAGTATATCGCATTATTGAGCTTCCTTCTTTCCACGATACATGTCACAATAATATTTTGGAATACACTGCATCGGGTGATTTCAAATAGCAAATTGCATCATGTGTTTAATGTTGTGCACTTACCTAAACACCTTAAAAATGTTTCTGTCATTCCACAATGCAGGTGTGCGAAGATAAGAAGTTAGTTCTCAATTACCTCCCTTGTGTGCAAGCGTATTCCTACACTTCTGTAAATATCACAAGAAAACAGACAAAACTGTTTTAACTGTGATTTAAAGCAAAATATTTACGACCTTTGATGTTAGAAAAACACAAAGAATATCCATTAATATCACCAACTTCTTGTTTTGTTCTATTCATGAACTTTAATTCATGCAATGATGTTTCTGATTACAGTGGAAGCCCTCTAAAAGGTCTAAACTGGTATTCTTTAGGACCAGCAAAAAATGCTGGCATAGAGAGCATGCTGGTTTAGAGAACTTTTCCTTTTTCAACCTGAGAATGATCTTCCCTATGCCGTTTAATACGACTGAACAACGTGTTGCGAGTAATAACCTTACTTCGCTTGTCAAAGCAAAGTATCTGATGTCTTTCAGCATATCAAGCAAGTATACAAGTGACACATGTCACTCAACAATTTACCTCACCTACTTGGGCCTAATCCTTATCCATACTGGATACTGGATGCTGGTTTAGAGAGCGTTAATTACTGTACAAACAGGCAATCAGGCGGTCTTTGTTGGGCCGAAATACGGAATAGACTGACGCCGGATTAGAGGGCATGTAAATGATCACAATTTAACTAGCTTCTGCCGGGACCAAATTCTAGTGCCGATATTGAGAGCATGCCGGATTGGAGGGCTGCCGGTTTTGAGAGCTTCCACTGTACTTCTGAATTCAAAATATACTGTGATACACTTTGAACCTTCAAACTAGTTCAATACCATACATAATTTCTATCACAGAAAATACTGCCATGCCCTCTTGACCACCTACTAGTCATTGCAGGGAGGATTGCACAAAGACCAGAAGCAACACTAAGCTATAAAGCATTCTGCCTGGACAGAACAGTTCTTCAGACATAACATGGTTAACTGATATTGAGTTTACAGAGACTGGGGTGAAAAGGTTTCCCTATAGGGACTACACACGCTTTATAGTACATACAATAAGTGGACTGTGGAAATTGCTCCAGGTAACGCAGTTTCAGTAGGGTCGGGGAATAAATGGATGTTCTTGCATCAGACTAAAGTCACAGGCTGACAGATTTCACCTTCTTTATTTTTTTTAATGTGAATTTTCAGTAAAATGTAGGTACCTTTATCATGTTTATCAGCCAAGTGATAGACGAAGATGCTTGCTTCTGTACCGAAACATCACATCGCTCATCAAACAGTTTAATACAAGGGTGAACAACCGACAATCTATAAGTCAACTCTGGTCGGTCTGAGCCACTTAAACCTGAAGCTGTTTTGTTTGCAATGTCAGTTGAGTCCTGTTACATCTCTAGCAAGAAAATGACTGCCCTAAAACTAAAAGTTTAAACATGTTTGAATATATCCCAGCACTAAATCTTGTCGTGGGGTTTGTTTGTATTCATATAAAACTTCTACATTTCACTATCCTCTATCACTATATCAGACAAATGTAAAAAAAATAAATTCTTTCAGTTCAAATTATTTTATGTCTGTTATGACTCTAATTATAATACATTGTATAAGTGATCAGGGTGAGTGAGTGTATCGTGTGAATCCTGTTTACAATCAAGTATGATTATTCCTGCACAAGGAGTATTTCATGTGAAGTCGGAACCATACAAACTAGTGGTTGATATAATGAACGCCCCCCACAGCAATATTCAATAAATGGCTTCACACATTGTACCCCTGTGTGGAGAATCGAACCTGGGTTAAGGGCATGATTGAGCAAACACTCTAACCACTTACCTACCCCACCACCACCATATAATGTTTGTATGAGCATTTCATACATGAAGTCATTGATGTAGCAATTTATCACCAATCCTATATGAAAGAAAAAATTGGGGGGGAGCTTGGGGGGCAGAGGAGAGAGTGTGTATTTCAAGCACAATTGAACATTACAAAGAAGAAAATACATTTGTCATCAAATGGCAGGATAGTTCATCTAAGTCACTTTTCATTACTAGCATTGGTTACAGTTGGTTACTGGACACCAATCATATTTTAAAATCAACACATTGTCTGAATAAAATTAAGTCATGAACTCCAACTTTACCAATTTTTATAACACAAATGCAGTTTGAACTCTACTTTCTAAAACAAAACAAAACAATTTGATGCACAACAGTCAGCAGTTTCCAACTACATCTGCAGTATAGTGAGACATTCTGAACAGACAAACCCGTAAGAAAGGATGGCCCATAAAGTGACTCATGAGGAGAAATGGTCAATACAACCTGTGGACAAAGCCCTGGTGTCCACACTGCCTCCATCTGACAGTAAACTGACCTCAGCAAAATAAGCACAGCAAATTGGAAAAATAAGTCAATATGACATTCATCAAGCTGACCTGTTCTGACAGGATGACCTCACCCAGTCTGCTGGTGGTGCAACAGCACAGTAACCATGGTAACAGTCATCAACAATGTCCAGTTATATGATAATTAATAATATGATCTTTCAGAATCTTGGGTGTGTTTATGTAAGCAAGTATCATATAATTTAAATGTACATGTTAAGATGTAATTTAACCATGCAGAGCATATAATATGGTTATGTTATATAAGTAATAGTAACTGTGTAATCATCCTGGAAATGTCTAGTTCTATCACAAAACAATCAAACATAAACCTTCAGATGTGCTATAAAGTGCACCCTTTAAAAATTAGTCTTGGTACATACACCCACTGTATACTGAATTACATCACAAAATTAATGCATTCTAGTCATCCCAGAGCAACACTTTACATCCATCTAATTACGGTGAATTGATGTGTCTCCCTGTAGCATCATCATCATGTTCATGCAGACATCACAATGATTATTATACACTTGGAATACATTCAGACATTGCTTATCATTATTCTGAAACCATTTTGAAACCTAGGGCAGTCAAGATGTTATGGCTTAAGACTTACTTCAAGAACATGTAAAACCTATAAAATATGTTTAATACCACGCATATGTCATTACAACAATCATGATTATGTAAATATGGCATATAGACTTATCCCTCATATACAATGATGTGATTCTGACTGAACTAATTTCAGCTGACTTTTGAAAATATTTTCCAGTGGTAAAGTTCATATATATATGTCACATGTAGTACACATATGGGATGTTATTATCTATATATTATATAATATATATGAAGAAACAAAAGTGTAATACTAGATATTGTTAAATGATTCAGTAAAACATTATTTGCTTTCAGAAATAATACCTTGCATGCTGCGTATGTTTCTTTAGTGGTTCTTTTACAGAGACATCAACGCATAGCAAACAGAATCACTTCTCTACTTTCAGCAACTCAAAAGTGACCACTGTAATTTGTCATGCCATGACCAGTTTTCTACATATGTAATTTAGCCTTATGAGCAAAATATTATGAACAAAATGCCAACAATGTCTGCAATAACAACTCTTCACACAGGGATCAGATCTGTTATATGATCTTCACATTACTGTCATGTGGATATTCACATTACTGTTCAGGTACAGTGAAACTATTCATCATCTTGATCATAATTACGTGCAGATTGTAAAATGGCCAAGCTGTTCATATTTAACATAGCATGGCTGAAATGTTCCACAAAGTGTCAACACGTTTGTGGTCACATATCATATCATGATATAATAAACTGTTATCAACAATTATATGTTACCAACACAACGCAAATATTTCCATAAACTGACATGACTTTCTATCGTGTCCGTTACAATCCGGAAATGCAACACTGACGAAAAGGTTGTACCTGTGGTGATAATTTCTGTTTTTCATTAAAGGTTATACACCTTACACGAGTGACATCTACTATGACAACAAGAGCTGTGCTCGCAAAGACGTTTATTCAACAGATCAATAGGCACTCAAATTACGAGAAGTCATGGCGTTGTGTCACCAGACAATTTTAGAACAAGTAAACAAACGAGATTGTCGATATACCAGAAGATAAACAACTTGCCAGCCAGGTTACCTTGCTACTGCATCGCAAAATGCAACGTCATGTACGAAGTCTAGTTGAAAGAAAATAACTGAAAGAACACTCAAACTAGTGTTATAGTAACTTGTTATCTCAGTGAAATATTGTTGATATACAGACCTATTAACTGTCCAACTTGAGTTGTAAGTGGATTTCCGTGACCAAAGAGAGCCGCCATTTTGACAAAGTGCTCGAACGTCACTTCCGATTCTATAAATAGAAACGGACTTCTCTTTCCAAAAATATTATCATTAATTTTCATTCGGGAAAATTATCATAATTCTGCAGCTGCTTCATATCTTGAATGGCAAATTAATCTCTTTATTATAGCATGTGGCAATTAATAGTAGCTTTTGTGCATGTCTAATATAAACACGGAAGTGACCGTTGTTATGCCAACGGGACGCCATTAGGGCTCTAAATTTGAAGCATAGAAAATGTTCCTTCGGAATTGACACAAGTTCATGTAATCTGATAAATGTGAGTGAAGCATATGTTTTACATACTGGACTTATACAACTTCAAATGTTAAAAGGAATGAAATTCGTCATCACTGTTCATTGATTTTGCTTGGGACAAATGGCATTAGAGCATTTCGATGATGTTACCAGTATTTCTGATATGTGGCATTCATACTTTAAATCGTTTTCATATTTGAAAGAAAACACGTTAAGAGTTTTATGACAGCCAGCCAGTCTTAGTAAGTGATCCGATGTGAAACAGTGATTGTTTACATTTTCCACAGCTGATTATAAATGATTATGGCAGGCAATATATGCAATCCTTGTAAAACATATAAAAGATGTATCACCAAGAAATGAGGAAATTATATATACAAAAAAATTTCATGTATTTTTCTACTATACCATCATAAGTATATCTCCTAAGATTAGATACAAACAGTGCAGTTATTGCATTTGTGATAGTGATATTGTCACATGCTCATGTATCTTGCCATGTTATATTTGTTTTACTTGTCTGTAAATGAATTTATTTTTACAGAGATAGAACCAAAGATGAGTCGCCTATATGACACGGTGGAGCCCTCAGTTATTGATGAGGAAATGCTCCAGAGATCTGTGGAGGAACAGGGGCCAAAAGAAGAAGCAGGAAAACTTGCAAAAGCTGAGGGGATAGACTTTGCAGATGTAACATCACTACGACTGGATTTTAAAAGTACACTTTGGAATTACTAGACTTGCTTTAGTTATTGTGATAGACCCTCTTTACAATGAATCTGTTTTTGTGTTCCATCTGATATTATTTAAAATCTGTGACCAAAATGTATTTCATTACAGCATTACTTTCAAAGTCTTTTCAATTTATTTCAGTGTACTAAATATATGTCCTGTACCAAATTGATAAATATTGGTAAATAGATAAAGTAACTATCTTGACAACTTCATCTAATTTTCACTGATTTCAGAATAGAAGAACTTGTGAATGCATAACACTTCCATTAGTCTATGATTGTGTATTGTAGTTAAGATAGCTGTAGCTCTAAGATCACTTTGTGGAACCTGGCCCGAGTTCTTGATGGAAATTTACAAGTTGATAGTTCTAAAAGACAAACAATTAATGTGGATTTCAACTTCAGTCACATTATAAACAAAGCTGTGAGTCTACCATGTCTACTTTGTGATCCGACACCAGATTGTCACTCTTCCTTATGCTGCCACAACGTCAGATATCTAAATATTTTCATTTAATAGTGGAGTGCCTTAGCCTGCCATGACTGAGAATCCACCACACGTTAGAGAGCTACAATTGATCTCAGTTCTTTAGATATGTTGGACCGAGATCTGTTAGGAATCCTGGCAGATTCTCAGATCAGTGGCAGATGTTCTGTCAATGGTAAATCCTCAGAAGAGGATGTTTCTGATTGTTTTCCATATGTACTAAGCTAATGTCATAATATACAAATTGTGAGTTTGAATCTAAAATGATGTACCATGAATCTACTAATCATATCATTACAGAGCACCTGTGATGGTATGCGTGCATTGTATAAGTGATATTCCATATTCTTGTTTGATGCATATATTAACATGTATGTGCTTACCCTACAGATTATATAGATAATGTTGCCTTCTCCATACTGTGCTTACTTTCAGTTCATATGCTAAATGACTAGGCCTGATTCATATGAATTGTTTTTTACAGATATTTTGAAAATCGACAACCTTTGGGAATTCACCAACCTTGTCAAATTACAACTAGACAATAACATCATTGAAAAAATCGAAGGATTAGATATGCTCGTCAATTTGGTCTGGCTTGGTAAGTAGTTAACGTAAATTTTCTTATATACTTTCCAGCAAATTGATATTTATCATCTTTATATATCATATTATGATTGCAATAGAATGTAAACAATATTGTCCTCAGTTCTGAAATCTAAAAGAAACAGATTGTATCTAGAGACTCTAAAACATGTTTTACATTTGCTGTGTTGATGTTTTCAGATTTGTCCTTCAACAACATAGAGGTTTTAGAAGGCCTGGGCCAGCTCACTAAGTTGGAAGATCTTACTTTGTACAACAACAGAATATCTCGGCTGGAGAACATGGACATGCTGGTCAACTTGCAGGTGCTCAGTGTGGGCAACAATGACCTCAACGAGCTGGAACTTGATGTAAGAGTAGTTGTTAGGCAAGAGTCTGCCCATAGTAGGATCCTTAGGAAGTTGAGAAATGGTTGACCGACATGTTTACCATTCAGAGAATGTTGGAATGTGTTAATGATAATGGTTATGTCCATTTTGTTTGTAACTGAAAAACAACAAATTGTTTTGACCTTTTAAATGGCATTTTGGGGGTAGCCATCAGGCATTTTAGGGCTAGCCACATAGAACCTATTTGGGGTTACTATAGAGCTGTGACAAGCTTAGCTAGGTAGAATAAGAAAACTGGTAGTACAATAAATGCAGATATATTTACATGAATATCATATACATACTTTGCTAATGAATATATACAACCCTGAGGACATAGACTTTGAAAAAAACTGAACATGTTCTCAGAAAGGCGAAAACATTTATGTCTGCAGGCATCTTTTCTGGACCAATATTTATATACTAATTTTCATGTAATTCACTCATGAACAAATGAGCGAACAACTTTCTCTATAAAGGTTATCAAAGTTTCGAAAGGATGGTGTATGATATTTGCAGGATTTGAATATTCCCTTTGTGGTAAATATCTGAAAAGAACAGAAATTCTGTTATTCTCAGCCAGATATCTTATTTCAATCTCTCTTTGTTTAGCTGTGAATGGGTATCTCGTTAGGATGAGAAAGCCACAATAACTCGGTGCGCCTAGTGGTTGCAGGAGTTGTATATTCCCCAGGGAGTTGAGATTGATAATACGATGTGCCATTGAGATTGACATCCATTGATCGAGGGGGGAAATACCAGCGCCTTGAGCATGCACTAGTTGCCTGGATATGTGCGCTATATAAATATCCTATATGATAATAATAATAATAGATGAACGTTGTAACTATCTGATGTTAAATTTTCAACTTTTTCCAGTTAACATATCTGAGAAAGTTCAAGAAACTGAAGACACTTAATCTGAATGGGAACCCTTTCTGTGAGGAGGAGCTGTGTAAAATGAAGGTCATTGCCTTCCTCCCACATCTGGAGTTCCTCGACTACAGACTCATCGATGAGCAGTCGGTAAGACCTGGGAAGTTATCAGCTCATTTTCATATCTCTGTTAACCGATCTATTGTACTTTATTTATTTTCAAATATCATTTGCTGGATCTTTCCAACTCATATATGCTGCCATTTTCAGAATTTAGTAGTGTGTGTTGATGTTTATAAAATTCAGCCTATAGTTGATACTGATTAGCTGATCAGAAAATGTCATCTTTCACAAAAGAGTTTAGGAATTGTAATTATTATTTAGATTGTTGGAAAATAAGAAAACTACATACATAACAAAAATGTTTTTACCAACTGACAGACATAACAATCTGTATATGTAGCCCAGCACCCTTGTATACATAAGTTGAAATGCATATAACAAATTACAATTAGAGTGAGTGAGTGAGTTTAGTTTTATGCCGTACTCAGCAATATTCCAGCTATATGGCGGCGGTCTGTAAATAATCAAGTCTGGACCAGACAATCCAGAGATCAACAGCCTGAGCATCGATCTGCGCAATTGGGAACCGATGACATGTGTCAACCAAGTCAGCGAGCCTGACCACCCATTAGTCGCCTCTTACGACAAGCATGTGTTACTGAAGATCAATATTCTAACCCGGACCTTCACGGGTAAATTACAATTAGAACAAACTATTAGAACAAACTATGGTCATAACGAACTATGGTTGTAATGAACTATGGTTCAAACTAACTAAAATTAGTAGTCCTCTTGTGTTTGTTGTGACTGTAATTTACTGTGTTATATGTCCATTTCGTGATGTGCAGATATCACAAAAATCAATGCAGCAGAAATACAACCCTTCTAACTGTGTCTGTGTGTCATTTGTAGCGGAATGCTGCATATGAGCGATTCCAGATGGGTATTGAAGAGCGTCTGGACAATGAGAGAAAGGCTCAAGCCAAACAGGAGGAAGAGGAGAGAAGAGCCAAAGAACTGGAACTTCACAAGGTATGCTAGCTATTTCTGCCATAGCCACAGTGACAGTCGTTTCGTGTGAGCATTCCAAGTGAAAATATGTCCAGGGTATGATTAAAGGCACACTATCACGCCACACTTCTCTTCAAATCAATATTGTATTTCCCTCATTAACACTAACTATCAGCCCACAGCGAAGCTACCATTTAATTTATTCCGAAAAAAAATACGTATTAAGATTACAAAAATTAAAAAGTTCGAATGAATTAATGCAACATTGCTTTAAATCAACTCTCGTGCACTCCACTGACCAAACTTTATTTTAAGCGAACCCCTTATAGTTATGTCCCTTGGAACGCTCTTTACGAATATCCTATTATGAAACTTGTGATTGAGGCCAGACAACACCACATGGGACAGTTTTCTCTGTACGAAGCAATCTTTTACATTCCATATATGGCAAGTGTTATCTGTTTGGAAACTGTTCGCCTTGAAGTTTCAATTATCTATTTCAGGCAAGTCATAAGGGATAATAAGTCTTTTATTGTATTAATAGGAAGCTAAAGTGAGTGCATATGCCCCAATATATATATTATAAACCAAATTATTGTCGAAAAAGCGTGACATTGTGCCTTTAATGTAAAAGATGATCAGGAGGAGTGAGTGAGTTTAGTTTTAAGCCACACTCAGCAATATTCCAGCTGTATGATCAGGACACAGTGGCAGCAGATTAGATAGTTGGTACTGTGATTCATGTGCATAAATCATTCTTATCACAGACACGGGTATTCCTATATTCATAGTACTAAGATCATTTTGTGTAACAGTCAGTTTGAGTAGCTAAGCGGCTGAAGTGGTAGCTTATGACAAATATCAAGATTTATTCCCTCCACATGAGTACTATATTTGACATTCTTCATTCCCCTGTTGTATTATGGTAAGAATATTTCTCAAAGCAACTTGATTCCACTCACTCAGTTTGCACTGCTCACCACATGCTATTCACAAACAACTCCACAGTATTGGGGCTTCTAGTTCCAGGCAAACTATCACATTTCCTGTGATATTGAAAACATGGATTGGAAATTATATGGATTGTGAACACACATATAGTTAACATGCTGATAGTGTCACAATCAACCACAGGCTGCAGATAAGAGTGTATGTACTTGGCTGGTTTTCAATCTGAGAGGCTGAAATTTCTGCCTTAACTCAGATGGTTAAGCCTCCTATGGTATGCAACCTTATTGACTAGTGTTCACAATCAGTCATGGGTATTTCCCTGTGTGTTTGTCCAGTTGATGTTGAAAATACATGTTTAATTCTTTTCAATTTACGAAATAATATAGATTGAAGCCAAAATATAATAATATAGATTCAAAGCAGATTCTGAGGCAAATTTGGATTTGAATCATTTTTTCTTTAGGGTGTGGGAGACAGACAGACAATGAGATAGTGTGCTGCCCACAGATCAGAATTCTCAAATTTTTGATGGCACAGCTGAACTTGTAGTTGTTAGCTTTGTCTGATGTTCATGATGTTTCTGTTGTTGCAGGGTGGCTATGTGGAGTTGATGAACGGCCCCAGTCTGTTTGACAGCATGTACGATGAGGATGCAGAGGGCAAGAAACTCAATGAGATGCCAGGAGTGGATGAACTGCTCATTGTATATCCTTTCAGGCTTCAATATGTAGCGTTTCCATTGAAACAAATTATTTCATGTTACTTTGCCCAGTGAAGACAGTCTTACCTTTTACTATTCACAGCATCGGAAAACATCCATCATGCAGATCAATTCAAGCATAAAGTATGTGCCTGATGTAGAGGACATCGGTTTGAACAAACAGGAATCTTTTGTAGGCAGCTATTTTTAAATATTGGGAAACAGTCTTGGTACAAAAACATATCCTTATGGCCAGTAGAATCTTCATACACTCTTAACATCACCATTTGGACTAGAAACATTTGCAGGTAATTTCTCCTGTTGTTGGTACCCATTGTTTTACTTGTGCAACAAGAACACATGTATTGATATGTTCTACTGAAGAGACAGGTGTCAACCATTCTCTCAGTAGGTTGTCCAGCTTATGATGCACAAGACATATTATTTTCCTTAACATATTACTTTCAAAGAGAACTTTGTGAGGATCTGCCACCAGATATTTGACTACGGTCTCCAGGAACACTCAAAGCGCCAGGATGAGGTGACTCAGTTCTGGGAGTGTGTGGAGGAGGCCAAGTCTGAGAACAAAGCCATGGGCATGAAAACCATTGAAGACTTCATGGCAGACAAGAAGAGGGTAAGGACTTTGACCCAGCTAAGCTTAAGAATGTGAACCACCTAAATCATATTAAATGGTCAGTGTGGGATTGAGGGCACTGTTGGATTGTTTTGACTGAAATTTCTGTTCAAACATATCTCCTCGAATGCACTCTGGATGAATGTTGAAAATGAACCAACCAATGAAAATTTTGGTGGCAAGTCAGTTAAACTAGATTAATTAAGATATAAAACATTCACAATTGACATGAAATGACTTATAATTATGCCCTGGTATCATATACAAGGTCTTAATTGCCTGTGTTTCTTGATGTCTTCGTCTTGTTGTAGCTGTTCCTGGAGATTGGGCAAATCAATGACCGAAGATCCTGGACACTAAGCTGGCCGACTACCAGAACCGGACATCAGACCTGTGGGATCAGCTCATGGGTCTGGAGCTGCAGCTTGTGGATCAGCTCGAGGTGAGTTACCCTTCATGGACAGTCATTGTAAACCGTAAAGAGCTGCAGCGTTGGCATGTTCTTAAATGTTTCGAAAGACTGTCTGGAAAAGTGTTGAAATCGTTAGATGAGTGAGTTTAGTTTGATGCCGCACTCAGCAATATTCCAGCTATATGGCTTGTCTGTAAATAATCAAGTCTGGACCAGACAATCCAGGGAGCAACAGTATGAACATCGATCTACGCAATTGGGATATGATGACACGCGTCAACCAAGTCAGCGAGCCTGACCACCCAATCACATCAGTTGCCTCTTACGGCAAGCATGGGTTACTGAAGATCAATTCTAACCCTGACCTTCATGGGTCTGAAATCGTTAGATACACACAACTGTACAGTTCAGTTATTTTACTCTTTTTCAAGTTTGTCCTGGAAAAAGAGCATAAAGTAAATCCTGGAAAAAGAGCATAAAGTAAACCGATGTCTCTACCTGTACTAATGTACTTCAAATATTAATCTGTGTCCAATTTCATTAAGGTCAGATCTTAGTGCTCACTACAAACAAAGAGTCTTAGATACCATCTGATCTTATAAGATTATATCTATTTCTTTTAAGTACATGACATTGGTTCATCTTCCCTCGGAAAATACTACTATATACAATACTTTGACAGTTTCCCAATCATCAGAAATAATAGTTCTCACATCATATCTGGTTTTGTTCCATTCATAGACATACATTCACCTCATTACGGCTTAGATTGAAAAATGAATGATGTTCTTTTAATTTCAGGAAGTCATTAAGGACTTTGAACGCAATATGCAGGATATGGTTTCTGCATTCACGGAGCAAGTTCAAGGTTTTCTGACTCAGTGTCGTGACCTTGAGAACCAACACCACGAGAGGATGATGGAAATCGCCATAGTAACCTTGGAGAAGGTCATCAAGAATGAGCTGGATGAAGAAATCTCAGAGGATCTTAGAATGGTGAGCAGACAAGGCTCTTTGTTAATGTCCTGATGTCAGGATCACCAGCATCCACTTAGTATATGTACAGCGAGTGAGTGAGTTGGGTTTAACACCACCTTGAACAGCATTTTGTTGTATCATGGACGTGGTTCCGCCGTTTACCATTTTAGTCAAACTAATGGCATTTGTATGTTCCTGACAAAGGTAGACACTTGCTCAGTTCTTTACAGAACAGATATGGTGTGACAACCAAGCTGCATTGATACACTGACATGGGGATTAAAGTGTTGGTTTAAAATACAGTGTCATACCTGTCAGATTATTTACAAAACAGTAGGAATAAGAGGGTTGTTTGAAGATATTGTTCGTGATCAGTTTGGTAACAATAATGTGTATGAAGTAATGGATGGAACTTCATTTGAAAACAGCAATTAGTTTTACTTATATTGTGTTCCCAGTCAGACATTGCTAGACATAGGCACCTAAATAGGAAACCCACATGCATTCCATGTTGGAACTGGTCCTGAGCAAACCATGCTTGTTGTAAGAGGTGACTAAACAGATGAGGTGGTCAGGCTTCTTGACTCGAGTGATGGTATAGTCCAACTGTGAGGATCATTGGTCAAAATATAAATCAGTGGATTGTCTGGTTGAGACTCATTGGCTTTGTAGCACCCACTTTGTAGCATGGACAGTGGTCAGCCTACTGTTATAATTTTCATAAACAAAAATTCAGGACTATTTACACAACTTCACACCTTTTTCAGCTGTTTGTGGACAAGGATACTATCAACAATGCTGTCACTTCTTCACATGACGTCCATCTGCTAAAGATTGACAACAAGGAGGATGACATGGTAACCAGAATCAACCAATGGCTGAAGGCGATGATCGAAACTATCCATGAAGAGGAAGAGATTAAACGTAATCGTATGCGAGTGGCAGAAATCAACCACCTGATTGACAACATGCGGGAGGAGGTGGACAACCTGGATGTCCTTCAGTCCAACGTGTACTGACAGAAATGGACATGATAGTGATGTGATACTAACATGTATATATACAGGGGCTGGTATATTATTGGTGGGATATCTTTGTGATATCTACATGACATTTACATCTGTGATATACCATGAACAGTTCTACAGATACTGCTACGGGTTTGGTTTAAACTTTCCCAGCCACATCAGCTATGTACTTACTTAAGAAAATCCTTTTTCTATAGGAAACTGAATTAAAAAAGACATTGGCTAAAAAAAACTCAAAACCTTTCTTAATTTTCTTCACCAAAGATTAAGATAGCCAAGGTACAAACTGTGATAAGTTACATACCAGTAACTAAATTTTTACAGATCAGATGTATACTGTGTACATACATTCAGGTCACACTAAGGCTTTATTGTTGCTTTAATTAACTCATGTAAAAACCTGTTGGCACTGACTGGTAATTTTATGATTTATGTCTCATCCAAATCAATTTGTACATTGAACTGTCAAATAAATCATTCATTCTTGAATACAAAGCCATGTAATGATATTGTTTGTTGTTTAATGCTGCATCTTGCAACATTCGGGTGTATGACGGTGGTCTGACATGATGAATGTTCACACACACACAATTGGGATACAATTCCATGCATCCACAATGGAAATATGTAAACTTATCATTTACCACACAAAGATATGTGGCAGTATATAAGACAAACAAATCAATTAAATAAATGGGTTTAATTATCTGGGATCTAAACACATGCAGCCTACAATGTCCAACATGTCACAACATAAAATATGTAATTTTCCAAATGCCTTAGCTCTCCAGGTAAAAGTTGATAAGCAAATAATTTTGAGCACATATTTCCTGGCGGACATTCATGTAGATGATGTAAAATACAACAGATAACTTTAACTTGAATATCTAGATAACTGTCATGATGGGCACTGAAACTGTGTGAATGTTCTCAGGTAATTGGAACAATGACATTTATGTTTTTTGTTCAACATAATTCAAATGCTGTATGACATAACCCTATACACACATGAAACTTTGACTCAGCTTCAACAATCACACAATAATTAGGATGAAGGACACATTTCCAGATCCACCAAATGCATTTCTCAGACAAAGGATGCACTGTAAAGCAATGCACTGAGTGTGAGTCAACACAGAGATATCACAAACACATCAAGGTATCACTGCAACCACTATCTGGCAAATGATGCCTTTTGTTTGATGGTGGTGTTCTCACAACACCAGTGTACAAATAGAGTTGCTGCAGCCATTCGGGTACGAAGTTCCAACATGTCGATGTCATGGTACCATTCTACACTGCCCCAGCGCTGGGTCTGAAACAGATGAAGGTATGGACTCATGGTGCTGACATTTCAGTAGCATATTGTAAGCCCAGTGATTGTATTTCACATGACTACAGAAAGCCTGATATTTTAATGGGTGACTCATTAACATTGTAAAGTATTTTTGACAATGTTCCAGCAATAATCCAGAATAGATTTCATTCACTGTATGTACGTTCAGTTTTCAACCTTGGTCTTGACAAGCATCCTCAGGTATCCAGTGAATTAGATCTACATCATAACTATCATGTACTATCTCATAGGTTTGGGTCTGATTCATATGACAACGCCTAAACAGATGTTCAATTAAATTACTCTCCTGTGAGAGAGCTCCTTCGAAAGGTAACAAAAATTATAGTGGACAAATGAGTGAGTTTGTTGTATTCATGCAGCATTAAACAGCTTTTCAATTATATTATTTGGAAAATGTAGGATGATGCGATTCACATTCACGTTCACCACTCTGGTGAAACCCATAAATCTTGAGAAATTGCTGACAAACCAGTACACAATATCACAGCAAATCTTAGATTCAAATCCATGATCAGACATCAGCAAATAAATTGATGGTCACAAATCAGAGCATTCTTTCATAATAATGGGAGAAAATGGAGAAGTGAGGATATCAAGAGGGTGCCCCATCAAATCTGTAGTGATGTAAGGGCTGATGAATGGTAACAGTAAACATGGTAAAGATGAGTTATCCTCCAACCTGATACTGTTGTTCAAGTCGGGCCAGATCTACAGCTCTCTCGACAGTGATGAACCGATCCATTAGAGCCATGGTGATCAGCAGAGACTTGACGGAGTCCACAGCATAGTAGTAGCCTTCAACACAAAATTGAGACAATGTTGCATCACCAATTCACCATGACAATTTAACTGTTGATTTATTGATTATTTTCTTTTTGTTATGTGCCATACAGCTATATGATGGCAGTCTGATTATTATGAGACATGGTTGACACAATCAGTTTATGTCAAATTCATTATCAACTACAAACCCAGACTACAAAGACTGACTGACTGACTGAGTTTGGTTTTACGCCGCTTTTAGCAATATTCCAGCAACATCACGGCGGGGCACACCAGAAATGGGCTTCACACATTGTACCCATGTGGGGATTCGAACCCGGGTCTTCGGCCTGACGAGCCAACGCTTAAATCATCAGGCTACCCCACCGCCCCTAGACTACAAAGATGTCTGGGATAGAAATGATATTGGCCACCAGACAGGTTGAAGGGTGCCTTTGTGAAAATAAGTGTGCCCATACCTTTTGATGATCCAGTGAAACTTAAAACATCACAACAATTATGCCATTACAATTTATTGTTTAATAAATCAGTAAACATCATGTAAACCTGAAACCTCGAGAGCTGGAGTTCCTAAACACTATGAAGACTTTAACAATAGTTGAGCTTCATTAGTCCTGAACCCATAAAGAGACCCACAAGTTATGTTATCGTCCAAAACGGGACTTCCTGTTATGCGCACTGGCGTTCAAAATGGCCACACCCATGTTCCGCAATGAGCTTGAGTGTGTGACACACAAACAGTTTGTTGGGGTGCAAATATGGAGTTGGTCAAATTGATCACATCCTCCATTAAATGAATCATGGTTAGAATTATTTCATCCATGGCATTGCAATATTTATTTAAGCACTATTTTGATCACTGGATGGAGACATTTCTCAAGAGGATGTTCCATAATGTTTGAGGGTAACAACCAAACAGGAATGTGCTTAATTATTATTTGTGTTTATCAAATTAAAGAGAAAAAGGTCCCATGGGAAGCATCAAGAACAATTCTTGAAGATACATACATTGGAAATGTATCGTGACTAAGAATTCCCCAGCCTTCTTGCAGTCATGTCTGACACTTACCAAACAAAGCCCAGTCGCTATACGACATTAAATGCCTCCTTATTATTTCTATAGTCTCAGTGGGAACTTCTGGCGGCATGATACTTGAAGTGGGTTCTATTGATATTCCATATCTGGAGAGATAAAACACCATCAGGATTTAGTCACGTGTCCTACTGGCAAACAAGGATAAGTTGAGCACCGACCTGACATTGACCCGCATTAGCATGTATGAGTGAAGCCCACTGGCGCTTGCCATTGTTAGCATAGGGGCCCTAGGTTGTCCGCAATCAAGTGTAGTGCGACTTGCTACACCGACGTGAGAATCTTATGAGCAAGGCATGTGCAGCTACGCCGGGAATCAGTTTCATCGTCATGCAATGCACGTGCACTAGCCTACATCTGCTCTACCGTTCACAAACCAAATGGGTTTGCACATTGCCATGAACCGCCTACTTCTCTGCGCCGGTCAAACTTAACCTTGTTTGTTTGCCAGTGTAAAAGTGATCAAAGGGAGATAATCCACAATCATGGGTTCACAAATTATTACCATTGAATAAGGGCTGAGATGGTTAAGAGAACTATGACATTAGATGTTATTTATTTCCAAACAGTTAGGATTCATTTTTCTGTAGTGTTCTGTCATTTTATCATGTCAAGATCGGGTGTGTTGAGATTTGTGCAGCCGAATTTCAGCAGAAAACTCAAACAGACCTGCATCATGAATCTTGTTTCATTATCACACAGCCTGAACAAAAGCATAAAAGAATAAAGAATGTAAACTTTTCCTAGAAGTAGAAAAGATACACCTTAATCAGGCTTTAGCAGCTCTACAGCAAAGTTTGCCTTGTATTTGAAAATCCCTTGGAACAAACCAAACATGTGTGGCATTGTTTAATATAATCAAGATGTGTGTACCTCTCCCTGGCCCAGTCCAGCACAGGGTCCCATTCTTTTTCCAGGAAGGTTGCCAGTTCTGGGGGATCATTCATTCTGTAACTAAAATAATATAATCATCAGCTGGAAACTAAACAACATATCTCCCTAACCAAAACACTGAAGCTACTATCAGTGATAAGGTTGACTATCAGAAGCAATCCAGTACTGTATGAGTTGTAGTGCTGGGAATTGGTTTAAATCTCAGAATTGATGATTGGTTCATTACAACCGATCAATCATCGAAAATAATTTGTTAGCATCATTTATTAAATTTTTCTGGTTATGTTTGTTAATGCACAAAAAATAAAGAAATAACATGTAGTTCTTTCGGGTTTTTTGCAAATTGCACAAAATGCATTTGCAAATTTCACATCTTTAAAGGATGACTAGTATATTAGGAACATGAACTTCATGGAGTCTTTAAAATATATTCAATCATGAATTGGAAGAGCCTGTAGTGCTAATGAAATGTAACAGACAAAACCAACCTTGTGAAAAATATCGTTATTGCAAACAAGTGTTCCAAAATTGTTTGTGTTCGATTTTGAGAAAACATGATCGATTGATTGGTCGTTTTGTCATTGCGACCAATCTTTGATTATTTCAATTAATCGGACCACCACTAATTAGTTGCACATACAAACATGACGACCAGATTCTAGATTGATTATACTCACTGACTTGGTTCACGCTGCACCAAATCCAACCACCCAATCCCGTCAATCACCTTATATGACAAGCCTATGAATTATTGAGTAACACTGACTGACACCTCAGTTTTTACTTACAGTCATATTGTACAAAACAGAGATTTCTGGATCTCTACTGATGGTTCCATTGATGTACATAATGTCTTTCCATATACAGTAATCCCTGTTAACATGAACCTTACCATTCCCATAGAGTGTTCAGGAGTACTGGACCAGTCATTTACCATTGGGGAGATGAAGTACAGAGGGAATCCAGGTCAATAACAGTGAGTGAGTGAGTATGGTTTTACGCCGCTTTTAGCAATATTCCAGCAACATCACGGCAGGGGACACCAGAAATGGGCTTCACACATTGTGCCCATGTGGGGATTCGAACCTGGGTCTTCGGTGACGAGCGGACGCTTTAACCACTAGGCTACCCCACCGCCCCAGGTCAATAACAAAGACAGTTTCTAGGGGAGTATCATGAAAAATAATGAACATATTTTGGGAGGGTAATGAAAATGGACAATTGTAATAAAATACAAAGTTTAATAACTTTTTTACCTGGACATGGGGAGGGTCATCCAAAACTATGACAAGCATAATCGTAATACATTACTGCATCAGAACCGCCCTTCCCATCCATCAACTACTTCGCTCTGTAGTAAATGAGGCCGCCATATAGCTGGAATATTGCTGAGGGTGGTGTTAAACAACAAACAAAACTAAATGAGAGGTCCCTCGTAACTAATTCCAACATACTATTGTCGTTTTATCAAACACATTCATGTCAGTGTTTACCACACAGCTGAGGCAGGTTAACAGGGCCATCCACTGCATCCTGCCTGTAACCATGGTAACCATTTCCTGTTTAAGCCGTTTCATGTTACATGAGACAGGATATGTATCAAATGGTTTTATTTACATATTTCCATTAACATGATAATACTGACATACTAAGTGAATTACCATGGTTACCATATTGTGTCTGTTTCCAGGAAGTGTATAATTGACTCCGTCAAATCCTCTCTTGTCCTATGCATTGGGTTGTCCAATGCTGTGTTACATAAGGAATTCTGGAACGTAAACATTGTCAGGTAAACACTGCACAAATAAATGATAATCAAACAAATTCTGAACATATCATGCACAGAAGCCTCATCAAACAAATTAATTAAATTAAACAGTCTTTCAACATAGGCAGTTAACATGAACAACTGTTGTTTTTACAGCACTGGGAGATAAGTAAATAATCTTCACACATATAAATGCATCCCATGAAATGGTTGCCAACAGTTACTACAGGGTGTGAAAAGTGGTGTGGAAGTGTGTGGAAAAGGCAACACTCTGTCCAATATTGGGATATTGCAAATAGAAGAACTGTGTTCAGCAATACCTCAGCTGTCCACCATCTACTCACCAGATGCATTGTGCTCCGCTTGATGACTTTATCCTGGGCATTCCACTCAGTTGCTACGGCGAGGGCTAAAGGTTCACTGGGCACCCGAAACAAGTTGCCAGTTGGTGTCCGCAGCTTCCTCTTGTCAAGGTTGACCTCGTACCAACCTACAGAAGACAGACAATAGCAAAGGATAACACATGGCTACAGTTTTCTGGGGTATTTCATGGGGAATGTCATGAATGACTTTCTGCAAATTGTGAGACCACCAGTGGGAAAGAATATGCTACAGAACTACATTAATTGAGAGAGCTTATCAAGAGATTTTTCGAGTGGAGATCTGTTTAGAACTACATTAATTGAGAGAAGCTATCAAGAGAGTTTTCGCGAGTAGAGATCTGTTTAGATGTGCTACTGCTACAGAACTACATTAATTGAGAGAAGCTATCAAGAGAGTTTTCGAGTAGAGATCTGTTTAGCGAGAAGCTATCAAGAGAATTTTCGAGTAGAGATCTGTTTAGATGTGCTACTGCTACAGAACTACATTAATTGAGAGAAGCTATCAAGAGAGTTTTCGAGTAGAGATCTGTTTACATGTGCTACTGCTTCAGGACAATGAGTCTACGTATGCATCATAAGAGGCCATGGCCCAAAATTACTTCCCCTTGCCTCTTTCTCTAATGCTTTAGCAGCCAGTCAACTCTGACACTTGATAAAACCGATTCAGTGCTGCAGCTTCTACATACCAGGTTTTATACTGTTGTTTTTCTAGCCTATATCCCTGCATATTGAAGTTTCTGAAACCTCGAATCTGGAGGTATGGATTTCACATACATTATACATGCTACTGACAGAGTCTAAGTTGCCACAAACTTTATCTAGTTTACCACGTCATACTATCACTTGACATATGACAGCCAATCATATCTGAGTTTGACACTGATTAAATGCACCAATAATAACCTTTATAATAACTTTTGCATCAGTAAGAACACTAATTACATCAAAACAATCAGTGGGATCAAAACAGCAATAATCATGTCTAAGATATCCATTCTTAAAGTAAGTTACAGTTCAAATAAATATTAGTAAAAACTAGATGACTACTGCCATCAGTATAGAAGTAATTTATACCATTCAGATCACAACAATACATTCATGAGGTCATTTTCAAATGTTTGCCACACCTCGATGTATGGCCGCTATTCGTTTGGTGACATGGACTGTACAGTAAAGAAATATCAGTTGGTAAAAGAATCCACCTAACAGATGATTCTCAATGTACATTCTTTTCAGAGTCCAGCAGCTGGTTATTTAATTTAGGCCCTGGCTTTGGCACTAATTCAAATGGAGCTCAATCAAAAGTTTCAAGAAACAGATAATTCAGAACCTTGTACTTATAGTTGTACGTAAGTTCTAAACTCACCATCAGCTGTAGCAATAGTAGCATGTTTGTAAAACTTCTTCATTTCTGAAAATAGACAATAAACTGATTTTATCACGTGTTTGAGACCTCGGGTCCTGGTGTGAAAAAATATATCTTGACCACTGATAACAGCTAAGTAGTACCTGTGGGGAAATCTGGGTTAGAACAGCCCCCAAACAATATTTTCTGCTTCTGGGGTATGGGGTACTGAAGACCAATTCTAACCTAGATCTTCATGGGTCTGCTGCTTGTAAGAGGTGGCTAAATGAATCAGGTAGTAAAATTGGCAATTGCTAGTTTGCTTCATGTGTAAGTCAACACATCCAACCTTTGCTAACATTACCCACTAGAATATTTGGTCAAGACTAGATAAGGTGAGGTGAAATGGGGTTTAACGTTGTACTTGAGAATATTTCTCTGACATGACAACTTGCATGCATGTGTATGTGTGACTGCTTGTACTAGCCCAGACTTAAGCTGGTATATAGTGCTGGTATATAGTGCCGCAGTTAAGCATGAATACCCAACTCAGACACATTATACTGACTCTGAACCAACCAGTCCTTGTTATACCCATTAATGCCGAGTGTCAGGCAGGGAGCAACAAGTACCATATTTTAACATCTTTGTGGTATGACATGGCTTGGGATCGAACCCGCGACCTTCCGCTCTCCAGGCGGACGCTCTAACCACTACACCATGGAGGCGGTCACTAGATAATAAACAAACTCCTGTCATAAGCTGGAATATTCCTGAATGTAGTGTTAAATAACAAACAATAAATCAATCCACAATAAGTGACAACAGCAAAGCATTTGATTTTTCACATGGAATGTACAATAGATCACTCATGCCCTGTCACAAAGGATCTGGTGTTGCCAAGAGACTGTCTTTGGAGCTTTAACAAACAATTCTTGAAAAGTGTCATTCAACAAAATGGTGAATTTCTGCATTGCCTTTTACTGTAACAGGGGAAACAGGAAATAAAAATTGTCAATTATAAAAAATAAAATAACAATGGTGAATTTCTATATATTAAAAGGAAACCTCTTTAAATATGTTAATGACAGTCTAAAATTTGTCAGCTATATTTCATGCAACAGTTGTTTTGCATCATGGTAATGACATCTGGACCAGACCAATTTCTGTACATAATCGATTAGTGACAGAGAACATGTGCACCTCCACCAACTCTATTTTATATCAATATATTTCTAAACCATCTTCGTCACGCCGAAGACCCAGGTTCGAATCCCCACAAGGGTACAATGTGTGAAGCCCATTTCTGGTGTTCCCCGCCGTGATGTTGCTGGAATATTGCTAAAAGCGGCGTAAAACCAAACTCAGTCAGTCAGTCAGTCTAAACCATCTTTAGTAATCCAGGAATACATCTGGTTGTCTGTCTAACCAGGTGCTTGACTCTGGACATGGAGTATTTTCTTCAGTTCCTAGAATGGAAATGTCAAACTGCGGCATGAAAAGTATTCCAAGCTGTACGGGGACCGGTCTGTTAACACTATTTTTGCTAGGGTACATTTCTGCATACTGGAACCTATCTGTAGTATCCCTACTTGTTTCTTTGATTATTTCTGCAACTTCACTCCTTGTTAACAAAAAAGTAACTTCTGCATATCTAGGACATTATATCCCCAAATGAACTGAATTCGACGTTTTGGCAATTTCGACGATTTAATTTCTCGCTCAATATTACACACATGTGCTTTCGGAGTGCACGATCAGTTTCATTGGTAGGGCAGATGACCAGTCATTGTCAATTTACGTTATATAAACAGCAAACAAACATCAATATTATTCACCCAAGATCGTTAATACCACTTCAGGTGCAAAATCAATTGCCCATATAACAAAAAATAGCAAGAGATAAATCTGGGAAATCAGTCGTCTGCTAGTGACAGGCAATATATAAATAGGAAGCCATGTGATCACAACACTCCCTCGCAGTGTGAAGCGAAAAGTATGGCTCGTCGTCGAAAACCCCTGCATAATGCCCGCATATGGAGTGTGGCAACAGTTTCGCCAATACAGTGTCATCAACGCTATTTTTGCAGGAAACACTTGATATTTTTGTGTGAAATAGGTAAGAGTTCCTCACGTTGCCCCATCCCAAATAATATTTATAAATTCTAACAAATAAATTAATAATATATGGGTCATTTTCAAAATTGGTAGGATTTTCAATTCTTTATTACTGTAAAATCAAACTCCTGAAAATTGATTTCAGTTTTATTCAAATAAAATCTCAAACACTTAATTATTCAAAAATCCAATCATGCAGGCTCAAATTTACTAATTGGCCTTTTAACTGATACATAAGTAATTAATAGGGTGAGGGAAAGTCCTGACCGTTACCACTTCTTAATCAGAATAAGGATTTTGAAATATAATTCATAAAAATCTTTTAAAGATGGCAGACACAGCTTTTACACCGACTTAGTCAAACTTGAAGGTAAAAACTATTATCATGAATCTTGAAAGTGTTATTTTGTATCTTTCATTTATTTACCACAAAATAATAGCATTTTTCTAAAACATTTTATGTATATAGCTTTCAACAGGTGGAATTGTCTAAATAACATCAGCTACTAAGCCCAGAACATCTTTTGATGACACCAAAATTGAATGAATAGTAACAGTTGTGACATTATTGGTAACGGTCAGGACATCAGTGTAAGAAACAAATGTTATCCCTCTAAAAAGTTGCAAAAGATTAAATTCTGAAAGATACTGCAACAACTATGATACTGTACACATGGTCATGCTACACAGGCCACTGCATAGATATCATTTTGCTGTTGATATTATGGTGCAATATTAGTCTCCACAAAATATACTTCTTTTATTCACTCGGATACCTTTAGTTTTTGTTAATAGTGAGATGGTAACACATATTTATCAAATAGAAAGGTTTGGCCAACATATTAGCACCTAGCAATATTCAAAGTAAATAGTAGCCTTACATATCTCACAGTTAAAGTTCAAACAGTTTACACCCAAAAAATCTTTAAAGGTTGGAATACAATTAAGTTGTTTACCGTTACTACATTTTGTCCAAACTGTTACCATAGATGTCCTAACCGTTACCTTTAATTCATAAAGACTATAGATCTTATAGAAAATAGAAACTTAACGTGATAGATTCGTTTTGGTTTTTATTATTTAAAGCAGATAGATAAGTAAATAGAAATTTATTATCACACCATAGAACATATTCTTCAAAATTGAATTTATTAAAGATATGTCCAGACCGTTACTATTATTTGTCCAAACCGTTACTAGAGACTGTGTTTTTATGCTACTACATCAAAACTCCTCTGAACAGTAAAATTCACATGCACAGGGGCTAGCTCAAGCAGACACAGGAAGTAGCATTACAATCCAGCTCCAGGGGGAAGTTATTGCAGGAATTTCATACACTGGCAAAGGTCAGGACACAAAATCACAGGACAAGCATGTTACAATTTGTAGAAAAACACTTTTTAAGTGAAAAAAAATTTAAGGCAGTTTGAGTATTCCTGTTCAATCCTAATTGGCATAATATGAATTAGTTTGTTTATTTGCACTAATATTTACATTATTTGTGAACATTGATATTAAGACCGTCACCTCCGGACAGAGCAAATCTGCCAATTTTGACCCTAAAATGATAAATGATTATCATGACTAATGATATACCACATTTACTGACTAGTAAACATCTAAATATGTCTTCTAGCACAATAAAATCCTTTCAAGTTAACAGAGTTTTTTTTAATTTGGAGCGGACAGAAAATACTATCAATTTGGAAAATGACCCATATATTTATATATACTAAAATTATTATTGTTTTATTTTTGATAATTGATAACAAAACCTAACACAACAATGAAAGAAAAAAAAGGAAATTGCTCGTAGTTTATATAATGCTCGTAGTTTATATAAATGCCTTGTATGGATGACTGGGTGCCTAAGTCATGCTTTTCAAAGATAGTTCTGCATAAGAACAGAATAGCAAATTAAAGGACTCACGAAAATACGTGTCAAACCAACATTCCGAAACTTCATTTACTGTCAACGAGATATTTTAGTGGATTATCAGCAATGATGTTTCATTGTACCTGATAATGACTGCATACATCGTCTCTGTTGGTGTTTACATAGCACAATGGATTGTTTTGAAATGTTGTTATTTAGATATCTGCATACAACTGCTCGAATCGCAGTCATCATGGGCGCCGCCATTTCGATACTTGCACTTGTCTTCTTACATTTCATTGGATATAATCGACCGGAAGTTCATCGGTAGCCAATGGTACGGTTACTTACATAAATCTTCAACTACCGGTGTCACGCGTCTCAACAGCTTCGACTTGTCGTTTAGAAGCATGCCTGTCCCTCTTGATCCCCCACCACCAGCAAATTCTGTACAGCCCGGAGTCACAACAACATTGTTATACAACGGTTCTTGCTTCAGGGGTCACCAAAAAAGCAAGGGCAATTGCTACGATGTCGAAGTCGTATTGCAGGTGAGTGAAGCTGTCAGTGAACATAAAATTGACATGTCATCAAGCCATAAGTTAAACACAACCAAACTGTCAAATACGTCAAGTTTACTGTTCCTTGTCGTCAATCCTTCTTATCTTCATTTTAAACATTCAGAAAGTTTATTTTAGTGTTTTTGTTTTTTATTTGGGATTATTTATTTTCAGTTTTGTACAAAATATAGTGTAAACCTAAAATCTTAAGGGGCATAATATAAGTAACAGTATATTCTTCTATATGTAGCTACTTTTATCAGGAAACCATTAGTAACCACTTAATATCACCTTTTTAAAATTCATATGTATTGCTGTCAATGGGAGAGGATGTGTGAAAGGATTTTATACACTCACGTAACCTTGATTCGTGGATATAAGGGAAGTGTGGCAAAATTCATATTTAAAATGCATGAGTTCATTTTGTATACGCAATAATTAATTTATTCATTGATTCAGCAAATCGAAAATATCTAATATTCCATTCATGAATGAAACAATTGTTACGGAAGTCATTTGCAATCATCACCCATTCGTGTGCCCACAAAATGTCACGTTACCTTGTATTGTGGATTACGTAGTCGGTTACTTTATACCACTATGTACGACATCCAACTGCAGTAAGTATTGACACCAAGGAAAACGGAAAACGAGAAGTGAAAATATTGGAGGTAACGGTATCTTTCTTACTTGACATTTTATAAAAATAAAATTTGGTAATGGTGGTATTAGTGATCTGGGGCTATTTATCTCAATGCTGGACAATTATATTTAGTGTACTTGCGTGTAATGCAGAGCGAGGTGTGGCATTGTATGTACATCAAAAGTACCACTTTGTGACGTCAGTCGAGACTTAATTTACGAGCTAGCATGATAATTTCCGCGATCCACGAATCAAGGTTATCCACAAATTTAGGTTACGGTTCTGTAGTATTTCTGCCAAGTACAGCAACTTTCACTCTGCTTCATGTGGGCTACATTTCATGAATGACCCTACTTCTAGGTCTGTAGCAACACCCTGTAGCAATATCATGGACTTGCAGTAGTCACAGACATGATAGAGCTACTTTGTGTAACGGGATCCTGGTACATTCTGCTATTTTAGCCACTAGTTCAGAACCAGATTCTAGTAGGTTCAGATAGTGTTTGGACAAATAATAAGCTTATATTTTACATCTTTTACTGGGAATGATACCAGGACTATTAGCCTAGCTGGGGCTAGTAGTCTCAAGGGTTTTTGCCACAGACTGCTGGTACCATTTCCTGTCTTAGGGCATTGTAGTGTCATAGTAATCAAGCCCTGTGTGGAACTGAGACATTGTGTCATATGGGTAACATCTTACTATTTAATGGGCCTGACAGACAAGAGGTGTTTGAGTGACCTGAATAAAATTTGTGTTACTGCCACTTGACCTGAGTCTTAGGCAGTGTTGATAGAGTGAACAAAGTGTTGTGTTATGCATGCAAATGGAAATATATTGCCCCTAATCTTGGCTTATGTCAAGTATGTGCCTCTGGCATTCAAGGGATAATCACAGATCAGGGTACAATGTGTGTCAAATTGTAACACCCAAATCAAAATGTTTTACATGAATACATTTCCATTGTTATTCTTCACTGAATTAGATCCAGTCACATTTCAATTATTTATTACTATGTTTCTGTTTCAAGTAACACAAACATCATTAACGAACAACTGGCCACAAGCTGTTTGGTTTGAAATCATAGTCAACAAATCTCATGTTCATCAGGATTTTAACACTTTGTGCATATCTTTTTATGTATCAGAAATGCTTTAAACTGTTTTTATGTTTTATACTCATAAAATGAGATGATTTAATTGTTTCCTGACTTCCCTGTCCCTGCAGTATGTTGACATGGAGAAAGCTTACCTCTGTGGCTACCTGAAGATCAGTGGTTTAACAGAGGAATTCCCCACACTTACAACCTTTTTCGATGGGGAAATAATAAGCAAGAAACATCCATTCTTGACGCGAAAGTGGGATGCAGATGAGGATGTTGATAGGAAACACTGGGTAAGAATGTAAACCTCCTATAATATATATCTTGTTAGCCCAGTTTTATGAAATATTGCCTTATGTTGCCTTGGAAATACTACAAGTACATTTAATTTAATTCTGGTTTAACATTTTCAATAATTTAAACATTGAATACCGATGCAATGCTATACATATGGAAGTATACAATGTTTTAAAATGTATTTTCATTTTCTCTGTCAGCCTGGCATTTCATGATACCACATATTTCTTGCAAGTTAGGATATACTGTCAGGGATATTCTTCATCATGAATGTAGTCATTTGTATGAGTGGCTTATGTTGACTGTCACACTTCTGAAATGGAGGTGATTTATAGCTTTCTGTATAAAGTTTTCTGAATTGCCTTATGACCCATTCAAAAGTAACATAATGACAGCCTTGTATCATCATACTATACGTATATATCAATCAGTGGATCACAAGTTTGTTTCCTTCATGATACACATGTGACTGACAATAAGTCTCATCAGCTCAGTTTGTGTAGAGTTATCTCCCTTCTAGTGCAATTGCTAAGCCGAAGAGTTGTTGGTTGGTTTGTTGTTTAACACCGCACTCAGCCAAATTCCAGATATATGGCGGCAGTCTGTAAATGATCAAGTCTGGACCAGACAATCCATTGATTAACATCATGAGCATCGATCAATGCAATTGGGATTCGATGACATGTGTCAACCAGCGAGCCTGACCACCCAATCCCGTTAGTCCCATCATACAACAAGCATGGGTTGCTGAAGATCAATTCTAACCCGGATCTTCGCAGGTCTTGTCTGTGAAAAAGATTGCATCAAAGTATCCTGAATTATATCTGATCACACAGTAGATGCTATTATTCTTAGGAGGTGTCATGAAATTCAGAATTTAAAGGGCTGATGACAATCACTTTCATAGGTACGATGTGAGAAGCCCATCTGTTTTGTCCTCAGGTGTGATATTGTTGGAATGTTGCTGAAAGCTGTGTAAAAGTACACTCACTTACTCTTTCATTATATGTTTGGTCTTCTCTTTCAGGGTAAATTCCTTTCCTTCTACCAGTTTGCAAAAAGCTTTAACAGTGATAGTTTTGATTATGGAGATCTGAAAAACACAGACTTTGTTTTCATGAGATGGAAGGTGAGTCAAACAGCTTTCTGAATGATTCATTTTTTCAAAGTAGGCATGATAGCTAAGTGGTTCTTTCCAAAACCTTATATTAAAAGTTAAAGATTAGGCATACCTAGATAGCAAATACAATAAGAGCAAACCTTAAGGGTTCAAGCCCCATTCTTATTTTCAAACACTGCCTTTTGCGGAACAACATCCGTGAAGGGTGACATTCTGGTAGTAGTAACTCATTACCATATTTCCAAGTTTCCATGGCTACAGTCTTTCTTTGTCTCCTCCTGATCCAACCTCTGCTATCTCAAATGCCAGGGGACGAATTCTTCTTATGAAAATTTCAAACCAGAAAATATGTCATGTACTTTTTATTTAATTTTCAGGAACATTTTTTTGGTGCCTGATCACACAATAAAAGACATCAGTGGAGCATCATTTGCTGGGTTCTATTACATCTGCTTCCAAAAGTCTACGGCAACCATTGAGGGTTACTACTATCATAGGAGCTCAGAATGGTGAGTAGATGTTGGTCGCTGTTGTTGGATTGGGGCGGTGGGGTAGCCTAGTGGTTAAAGCGTTCGCTCGTCACGCCGAAGACCCGGGTTCGATTCCCCACCTGGGTACAATCTGTGAAGCCCATTTCCGGTGTCTCCCACCGTGATATTGCTAAAAGCGGCGGCGTAAAATCATACTCACTCACTCACTCACTGTTGTTGGACATTTGCCTGTTTTGACTCATGATGCTCTCACCTTACTTAATTTTTTTTATACCAAAAGATGGATACCCTATTTGGTACATTTCTTGAAACTTTAAAAGTAATGACACATTAACATGGAGGCATGCAACAAATTGTGATTTCATATCGAATTATTGACTATTTCCTGTAATTATCCTTTCATGCAAAACTGGTAAGACAAATAATTTCCCTGTATGCCTTCATTAGTAACATGCCAAAAGTAAAGTGTGACATCGTCAGAATAGTCAATACGTGTACTTAGCACATCATAACACTGATTAATCCCATTCTTATTTCATTTGGGTGGTGGGGTAGTGGTTAAAGTGTTCGCCCTTCATGCTGAAGACCCGGGTTCGATTCCCCACATGGGTACAATGTGTGAAACCCATTTCTGGTGCCCCCTGCCATGATATTGCTGGAATAATACTAAAAGTGACGTAAAACCATACTCACTCACTCACTTTTATTTCATTTGGACGTATTATATCATCTAGATTATGAAACTATTAATCTCAGAAAAAGTCTCAATACAGATGAGCAGATGTGCATGACTGCAAATGATTACGGAGTAATGTTCTGTTCTTTTTTCAAGTTGTCACGTGTTTGGTGGCATATAGATTTCATGCTTCACAGGGATGTTGCCATGTACAGGATCTTGTGATGAAACAGATAATGTTATTGCACTGCTGACAGTAATGTAGAACAATATTCAGTTTTGCACATACCAAGTACATCCTTGTTTCCTGTATGTTCTATACATTATAAAGTTGCTTTTTGTTTCAGGTTCCAGTCGCTAAACTTAAACCATGTGGGGGATCGCAGTATTCCGATATACCAGTTCCGATAGAAAAAGTCCTCTTTCCCACCCAAGTAGCTTTGCTCAGTCTTTGTCAATATAGGAACCATTTATACCATACAGATTCATTATACATATATTGAAATGATATCCAAGTTTACACCAACTGTTGCTTTAAAACAGGCACCTGTAAAACACATTCTGTTTGTAGGTTACATTTTTTTGCCTTTTATTATGATAGTTTTCTCGATTTTTGTACCTTTATGTTCAAGCATGTCCTCATCTTGGAATATTTCAAAACGTTCAAAAAATACCAGTTCGAAAATGGCTCTGTGTTGATATGTATTTTTTGTTTGCTCTGTAACCATGGTTATGTAGAATATGACTTTGTGTTATTTATTTTAAACCAGTTCATAGTAATTAACCAAAATTTAAGTGTGTTTTTTTGTTTTTGGTTTTTTTGTGATAGCTAGTGTTAATATGATGTACATATTTTGCAATTTGTATAAAAGTTTGTGGTATGTTTTGTTTATGTAGTTCCTGTGAAGACAAATTAACAAGTAACCATCTTACAACATGACGACCACAAACGAGTCTGAGCGAGCAATTATAAATACATCTGTTAATCACTTAAGGTATTACCTCAAAATATGTTTCTTGACTGCAAGATTGACATAAATAGACAAGGTTCAGTCCGGTGAAACTATTGTTACAGCTTTTTGGTTGTGTGATTTGATTGTATGTGTCCCAAATGGTTCTATGTCTGAGCAGAAAGTCTTCTTGCAAACTGGTAGCAATTTCTTTAGCATAATAAGGTTTACTTATAACATGTATGCATGAGGCAAATTTATTTCACTATTTCACTTCTTTATTTTTCATTATCATGAATATTAACAATTTATAAATGAAAGTTATTTAGAATGCTGGCTTACATCAACAAGTTTGTGAAAGTCTGTTACAGGTTGTTTGTTACAAAAACAAAATTATTATTGAATTCAAATAAAAATGTCATTTACTAAATATACTTTTCATGTGAAAGAAGTGGAATCCATTAGTATGTATATTTCACGTGACTGACTTTGGTATGGCAGCTCACGAAGACTTTCTGTGAGGCACCTGTTACCATGGTTACACATGTTGTTATTTCCTGGTGATTTACCTTGTAGCAAGCATGGGTTGTTCCTGCAGTTGTTCCTTCAGTGCAAGTCGTGTTGTTAATAATAGTCATTGTGGTCAATATTTCACTGTCTTTCTTTGAGAGGCATTTAGAAGTTGTAAAGATGAATGGATAGTCAACTTCTTTATTGCGATGTTTCAGTGTAGATACTAACACCGTTATCAAGCGATACACAGAGTTGGGGCAAGCATATAGCTGCATAGTGGATATATACAATCGACAAGGTTGATTTACATTTTACATCTAAAAAGTGGAAATGTTTTACTGTTTTGCATGCACTATGTTCCTTCATCACTTGAAATACACAAGGTGGTAATGTGTAAAAGTCAACTCATGAAATAACGGAGTTTGTAACACTAGGAAGTCAAATGAAGATTACTCTTAGCATGAATTTGTGTTTGCCCAACATACATTTTGTACAAGAAATACTTTTGGTATTTGATGTAATTCAAATGCTGGACCAAGCAAAGTCGTAACTGAATGGTTTAAAAAAGCAAGTGCAGATCAGCCCATTGTATTCATGGGAGATGGAGAAACATAGTGTAAAAACAGCTAAAATAGTTTCCTGGACATTTGTGTAGTTTGCTGTATACATGTACAGTTTCCCATAATCTGTGAAGTTCCCTGTCCATGTGTGAACCATATTTCTGAAGGAGGAAGTGTAGTACAATATGAGGGCTGACACCCTGAGTAGATTTTCCTTATCCTGACTCATGCTCTTTTGCTTGTCCCCTTCCTCTTGCGAACATAGTGGAACACTTGTATCTCCTTAATTGAAGCTCCCTTCAATGTAAAATCACTAATTGGTACTCACCCACGAGTTACCTCCCCTGCCGTAAAGCGGCGAACAGGTGTCGCCACCCTCTGGCCTCATGCTTCACTCTCTCCTTCTTAGCCCAGTGAGCAGGATGTGAGGCGCCTGTGTCTCCTTACACACTATATCCTTTGGTTTTCTTAGTTAGTTACCTTTTATAGTTTACTATAAAGGTATAGCTAGTATCCTTCAGTTATTTGCGTTAATAATTAATCATTATTTCTACTGTTTATTCCATTGAGTTAAGTGATTGTTCAGCTAGTTTTACATTGATGAAAAACTGTACTATTTGTAGATTACGTTTTCCGCTCGCGGATCCATGTGGTATGCCCTAGTTGTACTTCGCGCCTTGTGCGTTTGACTCACGTTGCAGTTACTGCATAAATTTAACCAATTCTGCCTTTGATAAATACCATCTTTGCGTCTTGAGGCGTGTTGCAGATAGGTCCGCGCCAAACTAGGTGTAGACATGGCCCGTCGTCCGGATTGCCCATCCAGTCAACTGCTGTCGAGTGATCCCCTCCCGTCTGGTGTTCTGCTTGAGACCCCATCGGAAGAGGGGCGTGGGATGCAGTCCGTCACCTCTAAGAAGCGACCGGCCTCTCAGACATCCAGTCATCGCCATGAGACAAAGTCAAGAGGGCCTCAAGCGTCTTCTCAGCGCAGACTTATTACCCCAGGGCAGCGTCTTCCTCCAAGGGAAATCTCGAAGTCATCGAGAACTTTCTCAGGCGAGATCGTTCCAGCAGCAGAATTGGGCCTCTCGATGACCAGCCGATCATCATACCCGACATACATACCACAAGAAGCGACCAGTGACAGCGACAGTGGCGTCAGCAGAGATCAACAAGCAGCCTGATGCCTCTACACTGATGTCAGGCGAGATGGCTGAGGGCCCCACCGCTAACACAGCAGAAAGGGCACCATCTACTACGTCGCCAGATCATCCCAAAGCGATCTTATGAAACAGATCATGATTATGATGGAAGGCCACTATAGACTGGAGAAGCAGCCATCCCAGGGTCCGAGCCTTGGCGAAGGCTCCAAGCGTGAACAGCACCCCAGGGGCACCATCTGTCAGCGTAGCAGCCCGCGACAATGCAGCCTTGCGCGAAGGAAGTCACAGACCACCTCGGCGAAGGACCCAGATGTACAGCCTTAGCGAAGGCCTTGGCGGCGGGGAAGAATCATCACCTTCTTGGCGTCATACTCAGATATGGAATCTGATCACCAGACCACCGCATAAGCCTTCGCTGAAGGTCATATCATCGTTCCCCAGGACCCGGACATCTGAAGCTTGGCGAAGGCGTTCGCGAAGGACACCTGAACCCAGATCGTCTTCATCTAAAAGATCAGCAAGGGACTACACAAGAGCTTGGCGAAGCTATCAGTCCCCTCATAGATCGCCAAGAAGGTCAACCTATCGATATAGATCACCAAGGCGATCACCTGCGCCCGATCACCCGTCGATCACCTCACAGGTCTGCACATAAGCCTACAACTAGATCTCCACAAGCGTCAAGCGATATAGAGATAGAGCCACACAGCCCTACATCAGAAGAGCAACAACCTCTTATCTATGATGATGGAATGGAAGATGATGGAGGAATTATTTTCTCAGATGCAGAGATAAGATATTGGATGGTCAATAATCTAGATCTCTCATCACCTTCAAGAGTGGCAATAAAGAGCAGACTTATCTGATGAAAGAAGATGGCGCAGATGCTATTACACTACCCCCAATCGACCCGATTGCGGCGGTACCTCAGAACCTAGATACAGCATTTAACAAAGCCACAAAGGTTCAGGCGCCACATCTGCCAAATTTCAAGCGCCAAGAAGTTCTCCACGCATAATATGGAACCCTTCTTCAAAGCGCCAAGACATCGATGAGAACTATAAGCTGATCTCCGATGCCAAGAACAAGTACTACAAGATTGATGATCGGAGGTGGTTCAGATAGAAACCATGGCCGAAGTATGTTCTTCGGTCTAAATAGATCTAGAACAATAAATGAGACACTTATCTCCAGATTTGAACCGACCTCTGAAGATGACAGAATGATTTACTCGGCCCTACTGATGCAAAGAAGGACCAGCAGTTTTTAACAGATCATCTGGCGTCTGTCTCAGCAGCACTGACCTTAGCTCGTCGTCAAGGCCTCCTAGCTTCCTGCAACTGGGGTGAGAACTTTACAGCTCCACTATATACAGCCCGTGGTCTTCCCCATCCATATTTGTGCGGAGGAATAGACACAGTCTCCAAAGAAGTCACCAAGGATTCTAGAAGTCCTGATGATTAAATCGATGGACAGCTAGCCAGTGTCATTCGACAGACTTCACAAAGATACTCAGGGAGATCTAAATTCACGGGCCTACAAAGAGCTAGAGACAGGAAGATTGCCAGTTCCAGGGGAAGAGATTCTTTTAAATTAAGCCCATATGGCAACTATAGAGGAGGGTCAGGGCGAGGCAGGACACCCAGAGGTTCCCGCAACTATAAGCGCTGAAAGACAGGTTCGAGCGACTGGAGTCTTCCACCCCAGCCGTTCCAGTACAACCGTCACAAGTGGGTGGGCGTCTTCAACTACACTGGGAAAACTGGGGAATACTTCAAGACACCTATGTCTCCAACATTCTTCAGCAGCGGATTTAAGTTATCCCACTACAGGCCAAGCCTCCACTAACAGTCAACCCTCACAAGTTCGAGGTAGAGGCACAACAACTACTAAAGTTAAAGAGGCGGTTACATTACTCCTAACCAAGCAGGCCATAGAAGTAATAGAGCAAGGAAACATCGAGACCAGGTTTCTACTCCCCAGTTTTCCTAGTACCCAAGAAGAACTCCAAGGAGAAATACAGACTCATTTACAACATGAGCTTATTCAACAAGACTTACTTAAACAAACCACCCAGGTTCACTATGATACATCTACGCAGCTCTGACAGATGATTAAGCCCCATGGACTACATGGGCAGTATAGATCTACAAGATGCTTATCTGCACATCCCAATACATCCCGAATCCAGGAAATACCTTGGTTTTACGCTAGGCGGGTTACATTACCAGTGGAAAGTACTCCCATTGAATAGCATCAGCCCCATGGTTATTCACGAGGGATAGCGAAACCGATTGTTATCTATCTACATCGTCAAAGGGCTACGCAGTCGCGTTCTTCCTCGACGACGGGATACAAGTAGATCAAGATCCACAGCATCTCAAACTACAGTTAAACTACATCATAAAGCTACTAACACAGCTGGGATGGTTAGTAAACTTACACAAGTCGGACCTAGTACCATCGCCAAGATCTGCAATTCCTAGGAATCCGATTTATCACCAATCTCAACCGTATAGTAGTACCAGAAGACCGTTGGCTCAAGATCCAACAGATCATTCCACCAGCTCTACTGTCACCGCTACCACTTTGACAATGGCAGAGCTTACTAGGTCTTCTAACATCAGCCCAAGACTTGACAGTCATAGGCAGATTACAGTTCGTCCGTTACAGGTCTTCGTCAATACACATCTCGACGACCTACAACCATTCAGTCTACCGATACATCTCAGACCTCATCTATTATGGTGGACAAAGAAATCGAATGTCTGCGAAGGGATTTGTTTAGCAGAGCAGGAATTCAAGACCCATCTATATGTAGGCAGCGTGGCTCCAAGGTTGGGGAGCTCATCTCTCCAACGGGACGGCATCAGGGTTATGGACTCAGCTAGAAAGCAAACTCCACATAAGCGCATTAGAGATGAAAGCTGTAATCAGCCATAAGACATTGGAGCAACATTCTACAGAATGCGCACCTGATGATACATACCGACAACTTCGACAGTGGCGTTTTATGTGAACAGACAAGGCTCAGCGAGATCGCCGAACCTTTTGAATTTAACCTTTCAACTGTTGAATTAATCCAAGATCTAAATCTACATGTCAAAGCATGCCACATTCCCGACCAGGAATATACTAGCAGGCGCTCTCTCTCGGCCCACATCTACCGTCGCCCGACAGAATGGATGCTCAATACAGAGATATTTGCACAGATAATCAAGCAAATAGGAGCCCCGCTAGTAGATCTATTAAGCCACAAGGTTCAACAATCAACTACCGACATTACGTGTCACCAGTGCCAGACCCACAAGCATGGGCAACAGGCGGCTCTAAGCATTTCATGGGAAGGCCTCAATGCGTCGCAGCGTTTCCGCCCCAGCAATAATACCTCTAGTATTACAGAAAATCAACCAAGCGCCAGAGCCTACAACTCACTTTGGTCGCCCTATTGGCCGGCCAGAGCGTGGTTTCCGCCTTAATACAAGATATCGGTCAACCCGGCACTAGAACTACCCAAGCGC